ACATCGATACGCGCTCAATATCTGTAGTACTGACAGTCCAGAATGAAAATTTGTTGGTAATATTGCGATCAAATAGATATTCGTTTGCATCAACGCCAGATGAGGTACCACTAAAAGGACCACCATCAATTAAGAATCTGTTAAGCACATCTGGATCGAACTGCAGACTACTAATAGCAGAGGGACTGTTTTGGATATTGAGGTAGTTTTCAAAAATTCTTTAGAAGATAAATTTGATTTTACTGCAAATATGCTTCTTCTTCAGATTGAATTGAAAAATTGAGCATTTTTTTGAATTCTTATAATATATCCTGTATCTTATACCTTAACAAGACCTTCTTCTAGAGTTTTTTCATTAATTTTGAGTTATCAGTCCAACATGGAGCGGGTTTCTTGGTGATTTTTGGCAGTTTTATACGGGGCATGCATATAAGAGACGTTAGAGATATCAACATCAAAAGGGCAATAATGCCGTCAATAATTTGCATATGATAAACTGCTTGACAACTTATCTGCAGAAGTCGTTAGCAAAATCATAATAAAAGTCCTGGTATATGTTATTTAAAAAATCGGAAGGGACCCTTCAGCAACAAAAACTATATTACATTTAACTAGCTCGGAAATGTCATTCATGTTAGTAACAGAATTAGACGCAATACAGCTTAAGTTGATACAGATTAAGGTTGCGTTCTTTGGGGCGTATTCAAATGCTGTTAAGGAACTTGTAAAAATTTCATGGCTTACTGTGATATTTGGGAAAAACTAAAATTTAGACAAATAATCTTTAGTTTTTCTGACTTTATTTTAAGGAATATCAAAAAACTAATGGAACTTTTCCATTGATACCTTTTAGGCACTACATGATGGTTTTTTAAATTTTGTGTCCGAAAAAAGTACACCCTGTATTTAATAGGATTTTTTATACGAATTCAACAGTGAGCCACATGTTACATTTGTTAGTTATAAGGAAAAATGCGTTTTTTTCTGATTTTTTAGACTTTTTAAGTACGCATTGCAAACAAATGCTTAACTTGACGTAAATACCTTGTCGTTTAGCTATCGTTAATATTGCTTTATTATTGTATTATTGTGCCGTAAAAAGTACCGCAGAAATATCTATTGATAAATTTGCCGAATCAAAGTCAGACGAATAAGTCCATTTTCTTAGAGTTAGCTCGAAATTTAACTCAATATGGTTAATTCAAAAGCCTGTTACGCCTCGAAAAAAGTAATCTTTTAAAGGAAACGTAGTATTTTGCAAGTCGTTGCTGAGAACTCCGAGACATCAATTAGGAAAATTGAAAAAATGTAGGAGCGGCAAACTCACATCCCTGTTTATTTTGCGTAAAAATTGATATCCTCTATAAATTCAGGATTTGCCAGACTTAGAGCAGAGGATAGCGAATGACGCCTGCATTTGTTTGAGTGGTGTGAAGAAGATTTTAATTAACCTCCAAATATAATATGGTCCGACGAGATTATAGTCACTAATAACGGTATTTTTAATTGCCGCAACACTCATTACTGGGCTCAAGAAAATCTGCGGTCTAAAAACGTACCCCGGTATCAAAAACGTTTTGGGCATGTGTGTGTATTGTATAGCACTGACAAACTCCAATGCGGGCGAAAGGGCATCTGGTTGAGAGAATGATGGAGACAAAGCAGTATTAACAACTTCGTTATGCATGTCAGTGTCATCTGGTAGTCATGCTACCCGTGAAACCGCACGATACATGTTCCCGGCTCTGATGTGTAAAAATTTATAACAACTCATTGAAAAAAATTCAGGGAAACGCAATTACTGCAGATGGGTTTTCTGTGTCCGATGTAAATTGTGTACCAGATGCCAATCATTTTCGCTTGTTGACGTCGTCACCAAACCGCTCTTACGTTGACATTTATATCGTTTGATTAATTGGCTGGGAAACCAACAGTCGACGGTAAGCTGTTACGATTAAATTACATCATTTTTATTTTGTTGATCGCTGGGGCTTTTCTAGTTCTAGTATTATACCTGAACAGCGTGAACACATAACGACCGAGATAGTTCAAACATGTGAAGATGACGCTACAAGCTGATGAACAATCACGTGTTGAATGACGTAAAATTAACGTGAAAATAACCCTCTAATGTCACATACCGATCACGTCATATAGCATGCGTCAATTATATGACACTTGCTGCAAGAAAAGTCTGTTATTTATAAGGAATAGTCAGTTCAAGCTTCATTAAAAAATCTATGTTATTAGCAGTATTACATAGATGGTGCACAATAGGTTATTAATTGTAACTCTGGTTCGGTGCAGCTTGCTTAGCGACAAAAAGCATCCTATTACTAGGCCCGCTATCCCTCACTTTATTTGTTTATATGACATTTGGGGTGGAAATCATACGCTAATGTTTCTATTTTAACATCCTATGAGCTGAGTGATTTTTACGGGTAACACACATGATACTATGCACTAGAGAGAATTAATTGAGGTATGTTAGCATGAAACTGTTTTTAAAATTAATCTTTTCCACACTTTTAGGGATACTGAATTCGTAGAAGTTAAAGTATAATGTCGGGAGCACGGAAGAATCAGGGTTGACACATTGGATTAAACAGAATTTCCCCAGAACAAGCATAAACATTCCACAAATTTGAAACTTTCAAGAAAAATCCGACAAATCACATTTCAATAGTGGGGGGGGGGGGTGTGGTATAAAATAAGAATGTTAGAGCAACTTGTTTCTTGAGTCACGATTTCGGATGAACGAAAAGCAATATGGGCATTCGCTACCACTTCGTCATTTGGGGATTTGCCGTAGATCTACAAGACGACCAAATCCGTGCAAAATCACAACTAGTTCTCTCTCACGAATCAACTGGCTAGCTCACAACTTATTCTGCTTCATCGAGTTCTATGACTATGGATGCATGTCTACCAGCACACAATTGACATAGAAGTGAAGAGGTGGGTCAGCGTAGATGTTTTGTGGAGATGGGCGCGGCAGGTAGATACTATTGTTATTTGGCAGATGACAGTTTTTCATTGTTAAAGATGGAACAAGATACTCCAACAATACCTAATGATTTTATTTTCCCAAAAGAATCCTCCAGTACGTTTTATCCCACAAAAACTATCCAAGGGACGTAAAAATTTACCAAATTTGACGGAAAATCTCCCAATATGGCAACCCTGGGAAGAGAGATTGTAGCGATCTGTGATTTACGTTCACTGTCAATTGTCACTCTATACAGCGTTGCCAGATTAAATAATCTAAAACATTTTCAAGAATACATAACGCATTGAATAGCTAGGATGTGATATGTATTATTTTGTTTTGCTTGTTCTATCTAAATGTTGTGTCCAATAAGGTAATTTTTATTCATTTTGCACTCCTACTTATTCTTAAAATTAGATTAAATATTATATATGGAAACGGTAGGAATATACAAGAGAAATGGAACACCATACGGTAACGTTTGGTAACAGATTAACAATATTTGTCATTACAGATAGCTTTGAGTTGCTTTGTGTGAAAGCCGATCAGAGATGGAATAGGATAATTATTTCTTTGCCCGCTGACTTGATCCGTTTTGAATCGGAGAGATCGATTCGAGATTAACAAAAATATCGAACATATGGTAAATAATAGTTTAAACAAACAAGAAAAAAACACGCTTTCATTGCTTACCGAAATAAAAAGTAGAAAATAATTTTTAATTACAAAGAGTTTATATTACAGTAGTAGAATGACGAACAGTCAATCATAATTAATGACATCAAAATAAAATTATAATAAAATGTAAGTTACTAACAGAATAATTCAATTCAGAGTAAAAAGCATGGGGTGGATTTCACTACATTTTCATAATTCTCATATCGTATATAATTGCCAATAGAATGATTGTAACATTATTTGACAGATCAAGCACCCGCCTTTTACTCTTCTGTTAATAACTTAAATTTCATTTTCAGGTCATTAATTATGATTGATTGTTCGACTATCTACTACTGTAATATAAGCCCTTTGTATTTAAGAATTATTTTCTACTTTTTAGTTCGGTTAGATATAAAAGCGTGTTTTTTAGCTTTCTTAAAGTATTAATTGTTTTTATTTCTTTAGTTCGATTTATCAATTAGTTTTTTGTAGTCATGTGGTATTGGAATGTCTTACGATTTTCGTAATCTTGTAACAGTAACAGTTGCCTTTTATTGCCGATGATCATATATTTTTTTTTGTTGTTGTTGTCGCACAGGTTTAATTTGAAGTAATGCAGCAAGAACTTGAGAAGGAAGAAACAAAAGCCGATAATCTAATCTAATAATCTAATAATTGAAGAATTTACTCACCCTGATATGGACAATTTCTTCTTGTGTTGCCTAGTTATTTCCCTGGTTCACCATGAGTAATAATTTTAGTATTCATCTCCACATATTTTCATAAATAACTAGGTTGCTTCCATCCCATGCTAGATCTTCCACCGTCAAGAAATCAATTCAATCTCGAAATTTTCGCCTCGGGGATTTGTTTACATCCCAACAACAATCCGGTTTGTCACTCCGGAGCTAAAAGTAAATAAATGAATAAATAAATGTACATCTATAAATTGATATCACCTTCTGAATTAAAAACTATTTGTGTTGCATAAATATTATTACTCACCTATTGAACTATGTATTTCTTTTATAGTCAGATGAATTTATTATTGTTTTCTGAAATCTTCCAATGTCAAAGGCTGATGTCGCTGATGTCGAGGTACTATTCTGCGTACCGAACTACTTGCACACCTCGCTTGTTCCGCATAGTTGCCAATTTTATTTCAGAATTTCCTTATGTTTATTAATCAATCAAATTTATATGCAGATATGACAGTGTTGCCACATTTATTCACGATATTTCCTTGAATTTATATTAGGAACCTTCTCATTTTGGGATTAGCCGACAACGTTTGGCTCTTAATGGTCAGGCGTACAACTATATTTGGAAATGTCAAATCAAAAAAAAATAAATTTTGGGATGGGAGTTCCTTCCACCATCGGAGGGCCATCTTGTTCTGTACCGCTAGTGCCAGAAGACCTGAAATTTTCCTCCTTTTTTGCCTGCGGATTGTGGAAGGAAATTTCATAGATAATTTCCTGGGTCATTCCTGTTGTGAGTGCGTAGCACCTTTTTTTTTGTCTACCCTTGGACCCGAGAAATTCTACAATTTGTAGCCGCACTTTTCGCCAGATGGAACCACGTGAAAAACCCTACCCGACATCATCTAGGTGAGCATTATTTTATTTTAAGTAAATGAAAATTTAGGCAAAAGACCATATTTCTCATATTCGAAGTTGAGTCATTTATTTTAACAGTGAGTAGAACTGATCAAAAGAAATGTTTTTTTCCTTTACCATTTTTCTGGTAAAATTAAAGTAACAAAGTTATAGCCCTTTGGAAGTTTGAGTACCGCCCTGTCTCAATAATAATATTATGTGCTCGTGTTTGGCGACAACGGATATAATCCGCCTTATCGGTTCATCGCATCGGAAACAAAAAAGCGAAAGAATTTGGAACGATGTTTTTACAATTATTTCATTCAGTTGTATACAGTCAGTGTCAGTCGGTAGTGAATAGGGGTGTCTGTTGCGTGGCTCAAACGAAATAAAAAATGGCACATATTTATGCGGATCGGTTTCCCAATCAAGTGCAACCAACCCCTCGTGCCTTTGTTAATGTAGTACAACGGGTTCGTGAATCATTTGACTTAAGACCTCACATATGGACGGCATGCCGGTGCTCCAAGACCTCACGATCAAATACAGGTCCGCACTGAAATACTTGTCGGGAGAATACTTTAAAAAACAAGGTAAATCAAATTTATATGCAGATATGACAGTGTTGCCACATTTATTCACGATATTTCCTTGAATTTATATTAGGAACCTTCTCATTTTGGGATTAGCCGACAACGTTTGGCTCTTAATGGTCAGGCGTACAACTATATTTGGAAATGTCAAATCAAAAAAAAATAAATTTTGGGATGGGAGTTCCTTCCACCATCGGAGGGCCATCTTGTTCTGTACCGCTAGTGCCAGAAGACCTGAAATTTTCCTCCTTTTTTGCCTGCGGATTGTGGAAGGAAATTTCATAGATAATTTCCTGGGTCATTCCTGTTGTGAGTGCGTAGCACCTTTTTTTTTTGTCTACCCTTGGACCCGAGAAATTCTACAATTTGTAGCCGCACTTTTCGCCAGATGGAACCACGTGAAAAACCCTACCCGACATCATCTAGGTGAGCATTATTTTATTTTAAGTAAATGAAAATTTAGGCAAAAGACCATATTTCTCATATACTTCGAAGTTGAGTCATTTATTTTAACAGTGAGTAGAACTGATCAAAAGAAATGTTTTTTTCCTTTACCATTTTTCTGGTAAAATTAAAGTAACAAGGTTATAGCCCTTTGGAAGTTTGAGTACCGCCCTGTCTCAATAATAATATTATGTGCTCGTGTTTGGCGACGACGGATATAATGCGCCTTATAGGTTCATCGCATCGGAAACAAAAAAGCGAAAGAATTTGGAACGAAGTTTTTACAATTATTTCATTCAGTTGTATACAGTCAGTGTCAGTCGGTAGTGAATAGGGGTGTCTGTTGCGTGGCTCAAACGAAATAAAAAATGGCACATATTTATGCGGATCGGTTTCCCAATCGAGTGCAACCAACCCCTCGTGCCTTTGTTAATGTAGTACAACGGGTTCGTGAATCATTTGACTTAAGACCTCACATATGGACGGCATGCCGGTGCCCCAAGACCTCACGATCAAATACAGGTCCGCACTGAAATACTTGTCGGGAGGATACTTTAAAAAACAAGGTAAAATTTTTTTTATTTTTTTTTTACTTTTACACACATATTTTGTGTTTATCTTCCTTCTATAATCATTATCTGAAAATTAATGACTCAACTTCAAAGTCACCCTGTATATGTAAATAATTATTCTTGTTCAAAAATGGAGTTTACTTAGTATTCTGTGGAGCATGCGTTGGTTTTATGATATTTTCCGAGTAAGTGTAATTTTAAATCTGTTATACCGGGTGGTCAAAAATCATAATTGAATTATCTAAAATATTTAATTTCTATTCGCTCCTTTTTCCTTCTCGTATAATTAATATTCAATATTTGAAGATTACTTTTCCAATTACATTAATTGTTGTTAACTAAATTTGTATTTTTTTTATACTGTTACATTCGATCGCCTGAATACTATTATTCTTCCTAGAGTTTTTATTCTGGGGGAATCTGCGCTACTGGAGATCCATTGACACGATTTCTACCAGGGACCTCTTTCCGGACAGAGACCCTTTTTCCACCATAGGGATTCTTACGTCATCGGTTTTGAAGCCTTCCTCGCCCATTTTAAATTAGTTAGTCAATAAGCTTTCGCATTAAGGGAGATCTCCTAGTTTGGCTGTAAATGTAATGTAAATGTATTGATGTTAATTTTAGCAATTATTTACCCACACAGAAAATCTATTGTTTGTATGTATTTTTGTTTTTGTTTCTTGTGGTTTTGGGCTAAATAGTGCCTTTCAACACCAAGGCGTCTTCCAGTTTTGGCGGATAAAAGCTGGTGGCGCCCCTAAAAAATACCCCCCCTACTCTCCGGTGTACCTGAGCATAGGGCCTAATTTGCCAACGCTAAACCACGGCTTTAGCCTCAGTAACTCCTAGTTTTTTTTAACCATCCATTGCCTCAATGGAGAGAAATAACTTAAGCTTGAAATTAAAAAGTAATTTTAATTAATTAAAAAAAAAAGAGCGTGGCAATGTAATCATTTCATTTAAAGTTTCACTGTTGCCTGGAGTTTTTCCTGTTGACTTAGAGCTATCAAGTTTTTCAATCCGAATACCGTCTAACGATCTTACACGGCTAAGTGCTACATAAGCTTGTCCAGCAGCAATCAGTTGCGAGCCTAGATAAATGATTGCACGATCAACTGTACAACCTTGCATCCTGTCGACGGTCAAATCCCAGCTCAGGATTAATGGCAACATTCGCAATGAACAAAGTGAGAATGCACCACCTTGTAAAATTATCTGCCTACGTTGTGCTGTGCCGAGTGCATGAACCAACAAAGAGTATGCCCGAAACTGCACACATGCACAGATCGCGCGCTAGCTCTACCTCTCTTACTCCCCTACAGAGGATCTACAGGTGTAAAAGAATTTATCAATCCTGGCGGTCCCAATACGGATAATGGAAAACTGTTGTCAAATTATTGCATTGTTATCGGTCCTTCGCGCGAGTGCGAGTCTCAAATTAAAAAAACTTCTGGAAATTGGTGAAAATTATGCTCAAGCGTGTTGAAAATAGCCCTAATTCAGATAAGGGAACTTCAAAGACACATAATAACAACACCTTATAGTACAGATACACAACTGGACATTTATGAGACGTCATTACGACGCCGATATTTGATACAGTCACATCAGTTGACGATTTATCATCAAATTTCTATTTTTATTCTGTTCGTCATTGTCTGTCAAGGCGGTCCGTAGGACCTTTGCCTTTAAGTCAAAGTACGCCAGTTTGTTATGCTGTTGGCCCGGTTCACCCAGAAACCAGACATGATTAATAGAAAGAAGAATAAAAAGAAATATTGAAAAAAGGGGGAGAGAAAAGAGTAAGAAGTACATCTGTTAGAAAAAGAGTCTGAACATTGTTGAAAATTACGGCAAGAGATTTGTTAAAATTCAAAATTGCGCAATTCAAGTTCGTCGACGGTGGGAGCCGCGGGCTGGAATGTCTGCGAAATCTCGACGTCATTATGACGTGCTTCTGCTAGCCGGGTATGTTGCCAGGTCAAAATTATTCTTCACATGAAACAATATTGAGTTTCTCAGTATAAATATATTTAAACGCTTGCTTCCCGTCTTTTGTTTTCAAGACCTATCGTATCTCACTGATGGTTAAAAAGCACAAAACGCTGTTGGTTATGGTCACAGAGACGGAACGCAAACAGACCCTGTTATGAAAGTACATTGAGATGCTCAAATAATAATCCAGAATCATCTTCGTCTCATATAAATTCCAAAATACAGCCGCTATATTAGCATAACGACGCATTCTATGGCCCGGCCGAGTGACCACGGCTCAGATATATCTGTATCGGTCTCGGCTACTCCCCGGCAGCATAATGACCGTTATTAAGATGCATTAAGTCGTGCAGACTGGAGTAATATTTTAATTGGCCGACACACAACAGGCCGAAGCGGCGCTACAGTAGCGCGCACAAGCTGTAAAACTGGTAGCGAACTGTTTCTCGGTTCACCGACGTTTATGACACATCGAGATGTGCTCGCGCTCCGCTTTGCTGCCCAGGAAAATTGGAGCGAGCGCAAGGCCAAAGGATACTCTTGGAGCTTTATTGTTTCTTGAGCTAACCAGCCGTGTAGGTATGGATGCAGATGAGGTTGTGAGGTGTACAATTTGTTTTTTTATAGTCAAGCGATCATAAACCGAAAGTTCCAAGACAGATGTGAACAAGCTGAAAAAGAACATTGATTAACGTAGTCTACGAAAATACAGCAAACGTAATCCTATATTCGAAGTAAATCTGTATACCGCAGCGTCATCTAAAATAATAGTAATAATAATAACACTGGACAACAAATTTTAGTTTTTTAATTGTATCTTGTGGGAAAAGTGCACTTCTTTGTTAATTTTGGGGCGCTGAATCCAAAAATGACAATGAAATAAAAAAATAGTTGCGGTTTAGAAAAAAAACTTTTTATTTTTAAGGATATATTAAAAAAAGTAACAAGATTCATATACTTATAAGAATCACTATATGCGCTGTCTTTTTGCTGTTCTTTTATGGATCGTTTCTGGAGCATCTCTGCCAAGAGTCCAACAGTAGTCTGCAAGCATGGAAGGATTCCACTTTCCCTGGTACCTTTTTTCCATTGTTGAAATATCCTGATGAAACCGTTCGCCGTGCTCATCACTTACGGCTCCGCAATTGTCAGGAAAAAAGTCCAGGTGTGAGTGTAGGAAATGTATCTTAAGAGACATATTACAGCCCATCTTTTGATACGATGACAGCATATTCTTGACAAGGGTTTTATAGTTGTCAGCTCTTCTATTTCCCAAGAAATTAGTGACCACCAGACGGAAAGCATTCCAAGCAGTTTTTTCAATACCTGTTAAAGTGTTTTCAACTGTGTATCTTTCAAAATATTTCGAATCTGTGGCCCAACAAAAATACCTTCTTTAACCTTTGCCTCACTTAGTCTTGGAAATTTCTGACTCAGGTATTGAAAAGCTGACCCATCATCTCTATCTAATGCCTTGACAAAGTTGATATGCAGTGGTGGTGATAAAATTCTTTTCGAATCTACTAATGGCATATGCTGTACATTCTTTTGACCTGGCTCTAGGAATTGACGAACAGGCCATTTTTGTCTGGTGTAATGAAGTGCCTTTGCCTGACTGTCCCATTCACACAAAAACAGCAAAACTTTGTGTAGCCTAGCTGCAGCCCAAGTAAAAGTGCAACAACTTTCAAATCGCCACAAATATGCCATTGGTGCTCATCGTATTTTATGCATGTCAATAGGTACTTCATATTGTCATATGATTCTTTCATGTGAACTGCATACCCTACAGGAAAAGATGGTAAAATATTTCCAATATGCAATAACACTGCCTTTAAGCTCAATGTTGAACTGTCTATAAACAATCTCCATTCTTCTGGGTTATAGTTTATTTTTAAAGCCGCCAGTAAGCCGTTAATGTTACTGCAGAAAACCAAGTTATTCTCCATATTGAAAAATGAAAGTCTTTATGGCGTTTACGAAAAGCACATACCGAAACATCGTCTTCTAACAAGTTCCACTGCTGCAGTCTTGATCCAAGTAACTCTGCCTTACATTTTGGAAGTTCTAAATTTCTTACAAGATCATTTAATTCTGACTGTGTTATTTTGTGCGGTTGGTGGCATGACGTGCTCGGTATAAAATCAGGATCTCTTGACGTTGATGGCATATCTTCTTCCTGACGAATCACTCGATCGCCATGATCTGATTCGTTTTCCGATTCGCAGGTGTAGGATTCTGGGAGTTTTGGAATAGGATTTTCGTCACTGTGAGGCACAGGTCTCATCGCAAATGGTATGCTTGGGTAGTTAATAACCGATTTTTTTTTTTGGACATACCTGTGGCTTGTCCAACACAAGGTACCATGCAAAATTAACAATCATTAATATGATTTGTAGGCTCTCTCCAAACCATTGGGACAGCAAAGCGCATAGACCATTTTTTGCCATTTAACCAGCTCCTCAGACTTGAAGCACATGTATTACAGCAAATGTGGGGTGCCCACTGTTTGTCTTGATCACCTAGTTTATAACCGAAATAAAGCTGATATGCCTTTGTTACTAGTGGAGTAAATAGACCGTCACTGAGACGCAAAAGTCATATCACCACACACGTAACAAAACTGATCTGGATTGTTTACACACTTTCGAGACATCTTGCATGAACGATGTCAGCCAACTGAGGAAAAAATGGCTAACATAAAACAATATAGTGTACACGTATGTATAACGTAACACAATCATGCCGATTAGCACATTAAAAATAGTAATATTTTGTTGATTTTATTTGGGATATTTTTTGGCTGTTGATCAGTGTAATGGATCTAGTGTGATGGTCATGTGAGACGGAGGTCAATAAATGGTTGTGCTTTGTAATATACGTGAACACACTCTTAAAAAAAAGTTGCCTACAATCACATATCTTGGATGCCTTATATATCATATCGGTCGAATAGATGATAGTATTGTGGAACATGATTTTAAGAATTCATTTCTAAGCTATTTTTAGTTTCCTGTAGTATTTACTCAACACCGGTTCCCATGCCTAGATTCCATAAGTTAACAATGGTTGTACTAACGTTTTGTATATGGTGCATAAGTCTTTATCAGAAATAATTTCCGTAAAAAATTTAAATTTTTGCGTAAGACACCATAATCCCTTTTATTTTAGGTGGCTGTCTATGATGATTCCCAGGTGTTTTATATGTTTTGTTGGCTTTAGGACTACTACTTCATCTATGGGTAGTAATTTGATATGTATGTTAGTGAATGTGGGACTGTTCCTGTCATCACATATAAAAGTCAGATATAAAGTTTTTTCATAATTGATTGTTAATATTTTATTATTGAAGACGCTTATAATATCTCTGAAATCCTCTTCAATAAGAATGTTTAAGGCATTCCAAGACTTTTCACTATAAAAAGCACCCATATCGTCTGCGAGCGGGATAATTTTACCGTGTGTTTGTAGGTTAAAAAGATAATTTACGTATGGGTTGAACAGGATAGGTCCTAAGGCTGTACCTTGTGGGTTACCGTATGTTACATGGTGCAGGTCGCTGATGGAATTATTAGCTTTCACACACTGATTAGTATCTGTAAGGTAGCTTTTGAGTAAAGTATTTGTTTTGCCACTTTGAGAACTTGTCAGACAGATTATCTATTTCCGAAGCCGTGGGTTTACTACAAAAAGTGACCAAGTCAGAAGTAGTAGTTTTCCGCAAATTACAATTGAAGGTTGTCGTTTGCGGAATAAGTCACTTAGCGTTTTTCTAACGAAACGACAGGCTCATCAATATTCACAGTAATATATAGAATTAAAACCATGGGCAAGGTGATCTTATCTTG